TCATCATCATCTTCATCATCATCTTCACGCTCCGTGATCAAGTGGAAACTAATTCCCCCCTTTTAAAAAAAAACTGTGTAAGTATAAAAGTCTGAAATGAGCCTCAGTATTTGCCCTAAACCCTCAACTGTATTTAAAACAATTAAATAACTATTAGCAGATATTATTGATATGATTATGTTCTATTAGTAGCTTATATTAATATTATGTTCATTATGTATATATATATATATATATATATATATATATATATCAATTAAGTAGTATTAGTTGCTTTGTATTATTAATAACCTCCACATTCAGTGTCTGATTCTGCCGTTATGGGCCTTTATTTATAGTTATTCATATGATTTAATGAGATTTTCGTGCACAAAAACATGTGAATTTGTTCAATTAAGTCTTTTAATTTATATTTATGATGTTTATAATTCATTATAGACAACTTCCTCCTTTTTAATGAGCTTTTTCGCCTTTGGAAAAGTCCCCCATTTAAATAGAAATAACGAAATAAGTCACTGTATTGTTAAAATAACAGAATATTTAATTTAATTCAAGTGTTTTGAATGAAATAGGCTGAAAATAAACATTTATAGGTTATTATCTTTTACATAAAATTTTAAAAAATCCTATTTTTCCGTCTTCGCTTTCGCTGAAGCTCCAGTTCGCTCCCTGCTGTAAATATCTTTTATTTTATATAATTTTTTTGTACAACATCCGTTTGGAAATCATTTTAATTTGAAAGTTTAAATGCAAAATCTTAACGTTTTTCTGGCTTCAGTAAGTGGAGAGAACCGCCTCTGAACCAGGCCGCAGCCTCTGCAGCCGGACAGCTGCTGTACATCTGGACAGTGCAAACAAACACACACACACTGATGGTTTCCACTGACACAGACACAATCCCTGTTTCCACACGATCACATGATGGAGTTATAAAACTGCAGCATCAAACGAGACGCAGACACACACAAAAAACTGCTGCAGAGGCGCCAAAAATCCAACAAAACACCTTCAACGCGGTTGATTGTTGATTGTTGACTCTGCAGATTTTGCAGAATCACAAACAAACAACAACCGGAGCAAATATTTGCGCAAAATTACAGAAGATTTGGGAAGAAAAAGAAGCAAAAAACAGCTCGAAGAGGAGACAGCGCGCCAATATCCACCTACAGAGAGTCCTCCATGTTTTACACAACGGGAATAAAATCATAAAAATACATCAGATAGAATCAAATCTGCCAATAAAGGAGAAGCTGGATGTATTTAGCTGATTCTGTTTTTATTTAAGGAAATCACAGCACAGGGCCTGCGTGCCCATCATCATTACCATCATCATCATCATCATCAAAGTCAAGCCTGTCTGGCCTGCAGCCGAACCCCCTCCTGATTATATAACAACAGTCCCTCACAGGCCTCAAACCGGGATTGTTTCCACTCGTTTTATTTGTTTTTAAAGCGCAAATATTCAGATCTGATGGCGCTTTTCTATGCAGCATCTGACGGGATAAACAGACCCAGCCACTGGTTGTGACTATCTCACACAGCGCAGGAGGAGGAGGAGGAGGAGGGAGAGAAAGAAGAAGATGCTTTAGACTGGATAATTGCCATTTCTTATAAAGACTGATCTTCCCATTCCCTGTAATATAAACATCAGGCCTACAGTGACAGTCCAGCCACAACAGTGCTGCAGCAGCGGACTTAATCGCCGGCATATTAGAAACACGGTTGCCCTTACCTTTGTTGATAATCCATCATTCCCTGTGTGGGTGCCACTCCGCAGAAGCTTCCTCTCGCTTCCTCTCTCTCTCTCCAAAGTCCCCCTTTTTTTTCCTCCTCCTCCTCTCCCTCTCTCACAATTCCCACTTTGCACAAGTGATTTCATGAAAGTAATCCCAGCATCCGAAGGAGTGTGATGATCCCTCATTTTCACGAACATACAGCTATAGCCCACATTAACATGGCGCGCACACACACACACAGGGAAGGGCATCGCGCGGAGCCTCCATCGCCCCACTTTTGGGGGAGATTACGCACGAACCAGCGGCCAGCTTCTCCCCTCTCTCTCTCACACACATACAGGCAAACACACGCGTATTGCATATACAAAGAGCTCAAGAAAAAAAGGTTGTGTTACTAGTGTTAAGTGAATGAGAGCTGGAAAACAGCAGCTGCAATATAACCTCATGGGAAATAAGTTCCCATTCCTGCTGTCCACATGACCGCCAGCAACCAATCCCGGAGCCGGGCGAGTCGTAAACTTCCACGGCAAAGTTGTAAATTTTCATAAACAGCAGCCCTTTTTTGTGCTTTAGACATGCTTTCCCCCCATCGCCATTTTTATTCTCTCCTCCAAAAGCTCGCAGAGATGTTTGGAATTTGATGCTGGATTTAAAAACCAAAAAAAGATGTAAGAGTTTATTTGGTTTGACATTGAGCTGGATGTGGTTTCTAACTGAAACAGGTCTGTACACGCTTCTTATTGTTCTCTAAACACAACCGTAGTGCTTTTATACTCATTTAACAACTTTAATTAGATCATTTTCTTCTTGCTTTAATCATTTTAAATCCTAAAAAACCTTCTGTGATCCATTTCTCTCAATACGCACTGAAATAATCGTGTAATTTTATTATTTTGGGGCTTAAATAAAATGGTTTTAGGCTGAAAGATTTTTACATTAAAGACTGTTATGATCTCTCGAAATGGAGATCAATTTGGTTTAAACCTTCCAGGCCAAAGATGGAAAATGGTGTTCGGGTTGATTGAAGTCCAGAGGGGGATTTTAAGGTCACAAAAACTTTAAAACATCACATTTCATCCACCAACTTTTCTATTGAGATCATCAGGATAAAATTAAACTCCCGTCTGAAAGTCACGCACAGCTTTAAGTTCCTTCAGGCTCAAATTCATTCTTTAAAAACACATTTTATGATTTCGTTTGTCTTATTTCCGATTCTTTCTTTGTTTAAATTTGTCTTTTTCAGTTGCCAAGCTGCTGACTTCCACCACAAACCAGTATTTCCGACATTTATAGACGCAATAAAACCATAAATTCCTTAAATGCAACACATTCCCCTCTTTGCTTTGAGGGGTTTATTTTGGCGGCCTCCAGGAGACACAAACTCCAACAAACTGACCTTAAAATGTAGATTTTTGGTTTAAAAAATACGTTTAAAGAATAGGAATTAACGTTTGAGCTGTATTTCCAAAATAAAAGCAGTTTAATCTCCACGTTCGCTGATAATAATTCCTAAATGTTGTGTAAAAGAACAAAATATTGAAGCTTAAATATAATTAATGCTGAAAGCTGTATTTATTTTTCTGTAATATTTCAGACAAAAATGCAGGCAGAGGCCTTGCTTCTTAAAATATATTTAATAAAACCTTTCGATTCAAATCAGTCGATGATTTTAGGTTTTATAACATTTAGACGCTTAATTTTACATTTAAACATTCATTAATATTTGAATTATTGTCTAATTGTTTTCTCTTTATAAACGACCTTTATTTCTCCCAGGATGCAGCAGCTCGTTGCTTCCTGTGTTGTTCTGGTTGTTTGGAGGGTTTCGGGTCAGATGGTTGATAGTTTTAAAGTTTGTTTTTCTCTTTTTCTGTTTTCAACCTGCGAGAAAAACAAAGAAACCGGATGATGCTGTAAAACTTTATGGCCTCTTTAACTCGAACTGAAGAGCTTCAGGATGAAATCACAAACGTTGATTAATTAATAACTTTGCACCAAAAATGAACAATATAAAAACAAAGGAATAAAAAAAGAATATATTTTTCAAGAATATACAACCACAAAATAATAATAATAAAAAATAATAATTGTATCAGGAAATGAAATAAAGAAAACCTTCAATGACTGTGAAACTAAATGTCATTACAAAAAGATATTTTATTGACAATCAGTGCAAAAAAATATATATTTTCAATACTTGACTGCACAAACACGTCCTTGAGAAAAGAAGAAGATAAACTGAGGGGTTTTATTTAAATTAAAAAAAACCTCAGTTTATCTTCCTATAAGGTTCTTAAATCTTAATTAATAATACTTTAATATTCATGAGGATTACATTTGGTTTCACTGAGCCACTTTAAGCTCATATAAACACCCAATAAACAGTCAGTGTCAGCTCCCGATCCATATCTCAGAGGCTGCAGGTTTGGATCACAGATGGTGTTAAAAATCAGGCTCGTCTGCTTTTATTTTGGCACTCTAGGTGAGGTGTGTGTGTGTGTGTGTGTGAGAGATAATTCCTCCTCAGAGTAAAATATCACGTATTTATCTGAGCACACGCAGCAGGTAGAAAAAGTCAAAAAGCCATAATGTTGTTTCTGCAGTGCTGGAGGTTGTAAAGTGGCGAGCAGATATTAAAATCTGTCTACAAACACGAGACGTTCATCACAGGCACAGTGTGTTTGTCTGTATTTTCACAATTTAAAGCCGCTCTGCCTCCACTTCTCCTGTGTGTCTACGCTTTTCAAACCCGGAGGCAGGTCTGGACTCGGTGGTCCTGCTCCTCACTGCCCTTTACCGTGCTGGGGGGCTCTGCGGGAGGAGTTGCGGACGATGTGAGAGAAGCCAGGCCTCCTGACCAGGGGGGCGCGAGTGGAGATGACAAGGAGGCTCTGCAGGGCTGCGGGGTCGTGGGACATGTAGGCACTGCAGCGCAGGCCCCCTTTAGGGACGTGGTTTATGATGGGGACGCTGGGACGGGACCGGGTGTCGGGGTAGGAGCTGCTCCTGCTGTCCTGCCCGACAGACAGAGAGCCCCCGACTGATGGGGGAACAGAAGGAGAATATTTGACATCTGTGGGGGGATAAAAGAATAAAAAAAAAAACAATCAGGTTGTTCTGTTTTTAATTATGTGTTTATGTCTCTGGAAACTGGAAAAAATCACACAACTCAAGCAAAAGAAGACAAAACAGTGCGATAATTATACAAGTTTTATACCTAAAGAGCACAAACTCATTACTGAAGTCAATATTTATGTATTAATGGACATATTGGACACAGTAAGAAGGTCAAAGTAAAGTGAAAATAAAGTAAAGAGTGTTATTTTCTCACACTTTCTCACAGCTGATTTAACTTTATGAGGCAGTTTTAGAATAAAGATGAACACAAAAACAGTTAAAACGCAACAAAAAGACAAAACAGTAGCTGAGACATAACAAAAATAATCACATCCACAGACAGAAATGCCTTTTACTGCTGTGTGGAGGTCATTTCTGACCTATCACAGTGTGTGTTTACCTGGCCAGTGTACCCGCTGGGCGCTGGTGGTCCTCCTCGTCTCCGCCGCCCTGCTGTGGCTCTCGGGCTCAGACTGCAGGCAGGCCGACTCGTTCAGGCTCTTCTGGTCCACCGTGGGCCTGAGCAGGCGCTGCTGAGTCATGTGGGAGTGGATGTGCTGCGGCGAGGCAAATAATATTATGTCATTTTAATTCTGCCCCATGATGATTTCATTAGTACCGCAAATTATCGATAAAATCCACCACCATGGCCTTTCTTTGAACTGCCTGAGCGCTACACAATCAGTGACAATGGCCCAAAACATCAACCGCTAACACGTTTTCATTCCTCACTGACAATTATTTCTTAATCTTGTGATTTGACTGCTGTTCATCCGTTCATACAGCGGCCGTCAGAACACTGAAACATTTAAAATTGAAATAAACTGATGGATGTGGATTTACACTGGAACACTGCTTGGCCTCTCGGAGCCAAACCTTAAGTGTTATTGGATAAAAAACATTCTTCTTCCATAATCCTGAGCTAAACCTTTAAAATATTATGGGTTAGAAGCAGAGCTGCAATGATGAGTTGATTCATCGATAAAAAAAGATAATTAATCTGCAACTATCTTCAATAATCGATTAATCGTTTCAGTATGTTTTGAACAAATATTTTAGCTCCTCAAATGTGAGAATTTAACTGGTTTTCTTTGTTATATAAGAGATTAACAGAAAGGTTTGAACTGAAGACATCACCATGAGCTTTCTTTTTTACTATTTTACCGCATTTTATATTAAACAATTAATTGATTAATCAAGACAATAAACTGCAGAAGTGTGAAAACAATCTGAGAAAATGTTCTGTTGTGTTTTCTTTTATTTGGAAATTGTAATAAAAAATGAGTTTGAACAATAACAGGATGTTTTTGAATCTGAATTGATTATTTAGGGTTGTTTTTTTAAAGGAGCACCTCACATTCCTTTTAATTTCTTTAAATAAACCAGATTTGGTTTTGACTGGCGTACCTGCCGTGACACCTGACTGCAGGGCTGCTGCTGCTTTGTCTTTTGGGAAAACTGTGTCAAAGACTCCAACTGAAAAACAAGAAAATAAAACACAGCAGTGACCGGAAGCTAAAGAAAGCAAAAATATAATTTAATAAAAAAACTGAGACCACATTAGTAGTGAGGTCTTACCTTCACCTGCTGCTGTCTCTGCTTACTCTGCTGGTGGGTGTAGGTGTCCCTGGCGTCCTGCGGGACCCCCCCACCTTCTGTCCGGCCCTGCAACAGCTGGTGGATCTGGTCCACCACGCCCAGGTCCTGCAGTAGTTTCTTCCTCTGGAGCAGCGCAGCCACCCGCTCCTGCTCCTCCAGCTTTTCGTCCTGCTCCCTCTTCTCGTCTCGGACCTCTGCGGCATCAGGATCCACCAAAACGCTCGACAGAGACGGCTGCAGAGACACATTTGATTCAATTTGTTTTTATTGCCCTCGCTGTATATGTAGCCACCAGTATGCATTCACAATACATTTGCCATTACTGTCACTGAATAACCTTGATAACACTGTTTGTTTTGTTTCCTGTCGTGACAATAAAAGATATTTGAATTCGAAATGAGAGACACCCAATAGAAACAATCTGCGGGAATATTATTCTAGCTAATTTAAACTGGGTAAGAGTACATTTACTGGAAGGGGTCAGCCAGAATATGAACCATTCATCACAGGGCAGAAGCTGTTTGACGCCCTCTTGTGGTTTCATATGGACTCTGCGTCTTTAATGACACGGTAAGACAGCCTCACCGGCTGCGGGTCACAGTTTGAGCCGGGGCGTTGTGTTTGTGCTGGCCGCGGTTTGGCTCTCTCCCCCGCCGTCTCCCCCTGCAAGTCTCTCCTCCGGCCTCCCTTCTGGTCTCTCTCCTTCTGCTCCTGCTTCAGACGCAGCTCCTGCAGTTGTTGCCTAAAACACATCAGAAACTTTAACATCTCTCTGATAATATAAAGGATTTAAAAAAATGAAAACATGAATAATTTACTCCCAATTAAATCCCTTTATATTTTTATAAGCTAAACCTAAAAATTAAAGTACTTAAAATTTAATGCTTCAATAATAATGATGAGAAGAAATACGTTACATACATTCAAATATGTTATTTCAGCTTGTGTCATTAATATTGAGACAGGTTCAAATTGTTCAGTTAGTTTCTTCCAAGAAGGATAATCTCCACTAGTGAGCTTTTAGCTATATTTGAATCCCTTTACCTTAATAATGACACATACTGGCATATTGACCTTTGCGCCTAACAAAATGCACTTTTAAAAATAAAACAGCATTTTTAATTTAATTGTATATGAAGGGGTAGTTTAAACTGATATAAAGGCCGGATTATATTATATATTTTACATCTTGTTGCGGGCCGGAGGGAGGAGGACGGATGGCCGCAAATGGCCCCCGGCCCGGCAGTTTGAGACCCCTGTTTTAAGACATATAAAAATATTTTAAATAAATTAAATAATGTCAGATTAATTGTGTCACATGATTTTAATCTATCTGACAAATCCAGAAGATATAAATATGAAAATAAAGTACATTTCATTCAGTTTTAGGTAAAAAAAAGTCTCTTAATTCACTGTAAAGTCTATTTTTAGTGTTTGTGAGTTTCATACGATATGAAATACGTTATTAATCCTCCAGAGGGGAAACTGAGTGTCACCATACATATAGATCACACAGCAGGTTGGACTACTGGAGCACGATTGGCTCCAAACAAGCTGAGAGTCATAAATCCTGCTCATACGTTCACGTGTTCAACTGAGATTAAAGTTGAGCTTTTTTCCTAGAGTACAGTTAGTCCAGTTCATTATTAACAACCAAAAGTTACGGACAGTGATATTGCTTTGAATTTAAAAGGCGGCAAAATCACAGTCATACCTATTCTTTTATTGATTAATTGATTCATAATTTAGTCCATTAAATGGCAAAAATAGTTAAAATTGACATCCAAAACACAAGATATTCAATTTATAATGATAACAAATAATAGATTATTATTATTAAAAGAGAAAACCCTGAACCCTTTTTTATCAGTGTTAATAAAAATCCTCAATCGTACATTTTCAGGGGCTGAGCGTGCCGTCACTACCACAAACACTTATTTTCTTTAGCCTACTTTTTTGTCAATTAATGACCTGTTGATGAACTAATAACTGATTAACACTATCTGTCACGATGCACACAGCAGATGAAACTGTCTGCAGTGAACCACTCCTCTCCTTTTACTGTTCCACCGTTCTCATGTGGACAGCCTCGTGTAGTCCACATGAGAACGATGTGGCTTCAGCTCTTTCCTGGATTGTATGTTGACGGCGTGCTGCGGGTACCTGGCACACTCCTCTCTGGCCTTGGACGCTGCCGTCTCCTGGAAGAGCGAGCTGCTGTGTTTAAAGTACTTGTCGTATTTCTCTTCTCCCTCTCTGGGATAGATCCTCTTGAAGCCTCCCAGGTGTTTGGCCTCGTACCTCTCCATCTGCTCCACCGTGGCAGCCTGGCACTGACGCAGCTCCTCCGACCTGGTGGTAAAACACACACACACACACACACACAGTAACAGTCACCTGCGTGTGACTACGGGAGGCACACGGGGAATGGATGTGTGACCTTGGACAAAAATTCACACGCCATTTGCACCTGACAGAACCCTACCTGGCCTCTCTGGAGCTGTTCTGCTGCAGCCTTTCCTTCACCCTGCGTCTCTCCTCTTTGGTGATCTTGCGGCGGTCGCAGGCGCCCAAGTTGATGAGGGCCAAGGTGTCGTACAGCAGCGCGTCCTTCACCTCGCGGTCCAGTGGCGAGTCGGTGGTAAAACTCGGGGAGTGATTCACCTGGAGACACATAAGAATACACAGATTGACTTGGACGTCTAATGAGATCACAGAAATGTGTATTATGTTTACACTTTTTATCTTTTATGTTATTCTATGACTTTGATTATCTCTTTCTATGTGTGTAACGTAAAGAACTACAAACGTTCATTTGGTTATACAGCCTTGTGTTGTATAATAATAAATACATTTCCTTGATTCCTTGATGAAATGATGTAGAATATTTCCATTTGCTGGAATGGTACAGCCATAAAAAAACATGTTTGACTATTTCACACAACATACAGGTTTTTTTTTCAACCTTATAGCTACTTAAAGGGAAACACGTTTAAAGCTGAGCTAACCAGCCATGAGCAGCGGCTGTCAGACTCTTCGTGTCCGTGCTGGAGCTGTCACAGTCACTAGAAGCACATTTATAAAGTTTCTGTGGGGCCAAGATAACGGCAAAAAGAGGCTAACTCTCTAATGTTTGTGGCAGAGTGGCTAACCAAGACTCAAATATCCAGATTTGGACCTGAATCTATCAACAACACTACCCATACACAGAGGTGGTTTTGGGGTTTAGTTACTCCATATTTATGGCTGATATAACACAGGTGTCGTGGTCTTTCACCTCCAGGACCCAGGGTCTGAGCCGGTGATCCAGCAGCACGTCGAAGCCCAGGATCTCGAAGCAGGCGCTGCCGGTGGTGTGGTTGGGGAAGCACGTGTGGTAGTTATGCTTCAGGATGGGGTGAGCAGAGATCAGAGTCTTTATGATCATGTCCTCAATGTCATTCCACATCTTGTCCGTGTTGCAGCTGATGGACTCCAGGAGCTTGTTCAGGGTGGAGAGCTTTCTGGAGGACAAAGAAACAAAGAAAGAAACATGAAATAAATAAAACGCAGTATTTTAAGAGCAGTAGTAATACGACACAACAAGCATTGTTTATTTATTCACCGTTTGCTGCCAGTGTCCTCATCACGGACAAAGTTCTCGCTGTTCTTGTTGATGGAGTAGTTGGTGAGATGCATGCACACATCCTCCTAATGAGAGGAAGACGAGGGAAGAGAGATATAGATCACATATAAGAAAGATACATATATATGTACATATTAAGGTCTTGGGGCAGTCTGCCTGACGAGCTTTGCCTTTTAAATTACAGTCAGAAACTGATAGTGTAGAAAAAACATTATATCTATTTCATAGTAAAAAACTAAATATCAGGTTTTGAAATTTGGTCGACAAAAAAAAAAAGAATTAAAAATGTTGACAGGTGCTCTGGGAACTAATATTTATCAATTAATCTGAGAGAAGAAATCAAAAATGAAAATAATCATAAACTACAGCCTGAGTTGTTCTAAAGGTTTTATCTGCCTGTTTATTCTTGTTGTTTAATTTTTAACCAACCAGGGTTAGTGCATGTCTTAATGTTATTATTTCTCATTACTTCTTTGTAAACACAAGGATATAGATTATTATGTATATTATCAATGACACAACACGACTAAATATGTACTTTTTACTGTCATTTCTGACCTTTAAAGGATAAAGCTGATGTTTTTGTTACTGTTAACAAATCCTATGAAAAGATTAGAACCAACAACGTGTTAGTACATCTCTCAGCACATCTTTAAAAATATATCACAAGTTTTGAACAAACGTTACTCAAACAGGAGCAAATAGTGAATCTTTGGACACTATTTTCCGCTGTGGATTAATAGCTTTTTGCACAAAGAAATTAGATACATCCGGCTTTGGACATGTACTATACTTGTTGGTAGGATCAATTCATTGGTTTTCAGTGACAATAAGAGACTCATGCTTTAACATTTCCCTACCACGTTGCTGTGTGTCGGTTCGTTGTACTTGGTGGTGCAGAAGCGAGCCAGTCCCTCCTTGAACATGAAAATGCTGAATGGGTCACATGACGTCACCAGCACGTAGACACGCAGGTCAAACTTGTAGCCGTCAATTATGAAAGGCTGAGGAGGGATTGAGAAACAATGTAAAACTTTGTGTGTGTGTGTGTGTGTGTGTGTGTGTGTTTGTGTGTGTTTCTGTATAATTGTTTAATATACCCTCACCCTGGAGATGTACACCTGGCAGATCATATGCTCTCCAGGTTGAATGTCTTTACTTGATTTGGTAATGAAGATGCCTTTGCCTTGGCAACCGGTATCTGGCTTGCAGATGTAAGTCTTGCTTTTTTTGGCCCTGGTGTAAGCTTGGAAGTCACTGTAACTGCAAGGCACAACGGGGATAACGAGTTAGTATATTAAGACACACTGAGGGGGGGGGGGACTAAATAAAAGAGCAAAACTGACTCTGCAGGAAGGCACCACGTTCTGGGGAAGATATTGTAGTCTTTGGGGAAAAGCTTGAGCATACGGTTCATGTTTCTCGCCAGTAGATCTTTGCGGCAGATCTCACTCATCCCTGGGAAATGGTTTATTTTCTGCAAAGACACAAGAGACACAAAAAAAGAGGAATTAAATAAACCGATCCACCTTATTCATTCAGAGAAGAATCGCTGGTGCTGAATAGTTCCAGCATTGAATTACCCAATTAAATTACAAATTGATTACTCGAGCTGAAAAACTGTTATGAGCCATGAACACTGAGCCCTGGGAAAAACCCCCCCGACACAATCTCATAATCTCAGTGGAAATCTACATTTTTTATTATTTCGTGGGTAGGCATATTGAGCAGAAGAATTTAAATTACATGTAGAATACATTACAGTGTGACAGAGCAGAATGACAAATCCCCTCTGATTCATTTTCAGCTCGATTTATAGAATTAAATTCAGTTTAATCAGTCTTGTACGATGATGGTGTGGCCTCAGTGTGGGTGTTTTTTGTGAGGAATACCTGGTAACGCTTCATGTCCTTCACTCGGTCTAGAGACACGGAGCAGTCGGTCCAGAACAACGTCCAGTCTTCACCCTCCGCCGCCTCCCTGAGGCCGTATCTGCGAGCAGCACGCCGCACTGAGACGAAGAAACAGCAAGGGGTATTTTTACTTTACTGATGAACGTTTTTTGTGCGTATTTAAGAGTTTGGACTCATGTAGGAGCTACGGATTAATCACAAGACACACAACAACAAAACAGTATACATTTAGAATACAGTACATGGCCGAAAGTATGTGGACACTCGAACATTAGACCCTTCCAAACGCGAAGGAGAAACTACGGTGGCCGCAAAAGTGAGCCAGTGTTTGGTTTGTCTCTTCTGGGCTACTGTAGAAACATGGCGGTTTAACATGGAAGCGACCTGTAGCATCTGTATACTGTACCTTATACTATATACTGTATGTATACAGCATAAAAGGCTCAATCTACGGTAACAAAAACACGATTCTGACTTTCAGGTGTTCAGAAATGAATGAAAACAGTTATTTCTGCCAAAAGGTCGTCCTAAATGTTACAAACTGGACCTTTAAATAAAAAAAAGTGGTTCAAACTATAAGTAAACAGGGGTGTCCACATACTTTTGGCCATGTAATATATCAAGTGCTTCCCATTTTCCAGTACAGTCTCTGTTTGTGTGTCTGTAAAATACAAATAGCTGTAGCGGTGCGGCAATAAAGACATCTTTGGCCTGAACGTACCGCTTTCATATTTGCAGTTGGTGAGGCTGATCCACAGTCATCTGGAAGAGAAGAGAGACAGAAAGAGGGACAGACACCTGCTTTGCTGCAACAACGTCCTACAAATGCGTCATTACGCTCGTCTTCCGTCCCCCCGGGTGAGGAGGACAAGTGAGAAAACAAAAACTTAAGAGCCTCGAGGACACGTTGCAAAAAATCTGAACTGTCAGGGTGCTCGGAGGTAATATACCTGTGATGGGAAATAACTGCGGAAGTACAAATGGAGGAGATCCAGCAGCAAAGTACCTCTTCTTGCATTTTTTCCTCTTCTTGTTGATGGGCGGCGGCGTGCGGGTGGTGCGGGCTTCGGTTTGGCTCTCGCCCCCCTCGCCCTCGCCCTGCTGCTCCTGTTTGAGTGCATCACCACTCCTGTCGGGGCTGTCCACAGGTAGACCCATCCTGGACGTGGACAAACAAACACAAACGTGCTTATTTGAGGAAAAAAAAAAACTTAAAAACATCTTAAAATCATGCAACTCCCATTTTTTTTACTCACTCACGTGGTGTGTTTTTTTTAATGGGATGTGCTGCACAGCCTCACAATGAAATTCAATCAAACAGAACCAAGTACATGGTGTAAGTGCGCACACGGAGTCATGTTTCCGTTTCCATTTCTCTCATCAGGTGAGTGCTCTGGCTGTCGGCACATTGTCACACACTGGCATTCAAGAGTTATTGTGGCAGGACGGATACCAATAGTGGGCAATAGTGCAACAATAGCGAGGGGGGAATTAATTATAACACCACAAATAGTGTCAGTGAGGTAAAAAAAAGTGTCCTTGTCACTGGTTTTATAAGTATTTTCCACAATTTTCATAAACTCTTTTTAATTTTTAGATAGCGTGTGAGCCTTTCACTATCATATATCTCTTTATCAATGTCCAGCCACTGTCTCAGAGTGAGGGAATCCTCTTTAACACTTTAACACCACTGTCTACGCTTAAAGCACTTTTAAAATGTGACCACACAGAAGTGACTGAGACGCACATTCATCAATAACATAAACAAGACTAACAGAGTCCTAAATCCATGTTACATACTAACTCAGAGCTGAAATGAAGACACCAGACAGGACGAATACTAAATAGGATTTTTGAGTGTGCTGTCGATGGATACTATTCTCCCACAATGCAGTGCACAGAGGAAATGCAGGAGCTGCTGGGAAAAATAAAATGCATCATGAATGATGGTGAAACAGCTCCAGAAAGAAAGAGTGTAACATCTAAAAGGGTTTATTGATGATATTCATAGTGCGCATTGTGTCGTTTCCTGTTCTAAAAGCTAAAGTTTGTAGTTTAATCTGTAGTTTATCACGCGTTCCTCTTCTGTTGATGTCCGTCTGCACTCTGACCCGAGCGCGGAGGCCAGCGATCGCCACAGCGGCGTCTCAGCTGCTCGTCTCTGTCTCCTATCTGGTGTCTTGCAGGGTGAAGGAGAGGTCAAGTTAATTCCTGGTAGTGATTGCGACAGAATACCGTGGGGGTGGTGGCAGTACGCAGGGACATCCCAGGTACACTGTGGGAGGTTACGGTGCTAGGTGACAGTATTCTGATCCAATGATCTGGATAATCCTGGCCCTGAACTGTGAGCTTTACACCGGGCCGAGACGCCCCACTGACCTCGGCGTGGATACGGTTACGGCCCCGCAAAGGATTTCTCCAAGGTTGTCCCTCAGCGTGCAGCCACAGGTACATCAGTGACACCTTTGTGTTATCTGTCCTCAACAAACAATGGCTGGTTTCAGTGTGAAGGACTTTGTCAACTGTTAACTGTCACTGCGTACATTCAGGCTACGCCACGACACGCAATGCCAGCACTTATTATTGTCTAATTTAACTCACCTAACTCTCTGCTTTATTAAAGAAAGGACAAACCTTTTAAATTCTCTATAAAAACTTCCACAAATTATCTAATTAGAATTGCAGTTTTAGTATATAACACATTCTCTTACTTGTGTAAACACTCAAAAATAAAGCAGCAACTAACAGTTACTTTTATTATCAAATCAATTATGAATTATTTAGTCTATAAATGTAAATTAAACAGCTTCAAACTGCTCATGTTATCTGGCAACAGTCCAAAAACCCCAAGGCATTTAATTTGCACATTTAAATCCACAAATAATCGCTATTTTAGATAAATTACTTAAATTATTATCAAAATAAACATCAGATAATTGTCCTTCTGCACCAAGTGATTGCACACACTCAGTTTCCAGTTCATTAGGTACACTTTGCTCAAACTAACACAGTCAAATACACAAGTGTTGATGTAATTACGGTGCTGCTGAATCTAATATTTTAGTCTGCAAATACATTTTAAGCTCATACACCTTGTTTGCTATCAGGTTTCACCGTCTTCATTTAGAAACGCCTCTGACTCACCTGCACTGTTACGCCTACATTTGTGAGGAACAGTGGCGTTGGAAGATGCTGCCCCCCCCACACACACAGTAGAGAACAGTGGTCGTTTAGGAAATGGAGAGATTGCTGCCCTCCCCCCCCCCCATTCACACACACTAACAACAACCACACTTACAACACAACCACACATCACACACCACACATCCCTACTAAGACGCCGTCGCACTCCTCAGCAGACAAACCAACGAGCCACATCTCGACCTCTCGACCGCCGGCCTCTGAAACAAAGACAAAAAAAAAGATTTGTATCATCACAAGGAAGGCTCGGTTCAGATTGACTCACGCGCTCGAGGATCTGGTGACCAATTAGAAACTGTGAGAGACAAAACACCTGATCCCTCTCGACGTGATGGAGAGAAGATGAGCGGGAGACCTCGGCGGGGAGCGAGGGGAGACGGATAATCCCTGATATTTGTTCACTGAAACAGGAGAAGTGTTTTTCAACGCCTCGAGCTGTTGGGTTTAAATCTGTGCTGAAAAGCGGCGTGGCATCTCAAACGGAGCTCGGGGGGGGGGGAAATGTTGGTCAAACACAAAGCAGACACGTTTCCCAATCAGGTGACGGCAACAGTGCTGAAATTATTCCTCTATGAATCAATCAAAGTGTCTATGTTGTGTTTTTATGGAGGGATAATCAATGTGTAGCTTCTCTTCTCTTCTGTGCAGAAAGCAGGATGTCCCAGGTGTGTTATTAAATAAGAAAATCGACGATAAACAGTTGGTTTTGTCTGTAAGGACGGCTGCGTGGATTGGATATGCAGATTATTATTCTGCTCTACAAATTAGCTTTTCAAATTAGGATTTGGGTACAGTTTTCTGATTTGTGGTGCCAAAGAAACAACATCAAATCCTCAAACTATTGCTATTAAACACTGATTTTAATGCCCCGACTGTACGAGAAACTGCATGAATATGAAAAACTTGGTTCATATTCAGTGTAACTTGGTGTGCAGACAGTAATCCACCATATCTCTAAATAACTGCTTAAAATACAGGATTTACTGTTCACAAAAGCTAATAAAAATGTAAGTTTGTACACTGATTGGTCAAAGAAAAGAAAACTCTGGTTTGTTGTAAGCAGTAAATAGTATATACTGCTTTATACTTCTTTCTTTCAGAGGGAAATATTGTACTTTACTTTTAAAAGCTGCACTTTTACTTTTCAGACAGTAAATAAAAGCTGCAGCAGCAACTGCAGTAGTAAAATGCATTAATGCATCAGAATTAATAATCCATAAAAGCCTACATAATAATATAACACTCCCAGGGGCCATGTTTCTGTATAACTGTACTTAAACTTGCAGGATCTGTGCTTGTAATCGAGTATTTCTCCATACTAATAAGTAAAAACTGTAAATACAGCAGTTTAAATTGAGACTTTTCACACATAAATCCTTTTTTAACCAAAAAAAAACAGTCACAATTCAGTTTCCACTAATTAACACGTAACGCTCCTTAACATTTCACACAGTTTTAACGTTTCACCTGATCAATATCTTTAGTTTTATATCACCAAATAAAGATAAAACCTCACGCAGCTACCTATACGTAGCGCCGTTGCCGTGGTAACGCAATGTTTACCCTAGCAACCACTAGAGGTCAACTTTTTTTTTTTTTAAACGGCTATAAAATGTCGTAAACTTTGACGTTACCGTTACAGAAAGGAGTGTCCTCTCGTTTACCGGAGGGAGGAGGGGGGGGGCGGTAAACACAAACAAACCGAGCGGCCTCCGGTAAATGTTGTTGTTTGTTGGCGGGAGTCGGTGGTCGCACGGACGAGACTACAAATGTAAACATGAATGAACTCACTCACACACACACACACAGGAGAGCGCGGTGCCCGGCAGATGGAACGCCCCCTTTTTACAACTTCAGCCAATCGCAAGCCGGGCTGTGAGAATACTCGCTTCTGATTGGTTGTTTGGCTCACCGATGAGAAAAGGTTGATCCACAGGTGAAGCTTTAGGTTTCCACATATATTTCATTATTATCAGGTAGTTTCTGCACAAAATGCATGTTTTTTTATCTGAAAACACCTGCCCTGAAAAAAATAAATAATATATAATAATAATATATTATTCTATATAATAATATATTATTATTATACTGTAGGATCCAAGATTTATCATAAAATCACCAGTTTTACTGATATAAATGATCTATTGTTTCTTATTATTTAATTTAACCATAAGTGCACAATTTTCACATTTGTAAAATTATGATTTTTATCTTTTTTATATAAATTTTACCCAACATATGAGTTCCAGTAGAAAATATATATAATTGTAGTATTGTTATTTTATTATATGAATATTACCGTTCAGAGAGAGGGTGGCCTACTTGAATTTGATTTATTAGTGTTTTATTACTATTATTTTATGCTTTTTTTAAGTGGTAAAATCTGCTGAAATGGCTTAATGTCCAAATTCTATCATATGGCTTCTTTAACTGACTGATTGGAAACCTTTCATGCACTCAGGCATGTTTAGTTTGCTTGTAAAAAACTAATAAAAACACAATAAAATACAATAAACATTTCCCCTTTGGCTTTAAAGTGAATATATAAATTATTTTAACTACAGGTTCACGCAGCAGCATCAGTTTGTAATGAGTTTGGCTCCCTCTTGTGATTTTATCTCACACTGCAGAAGAGAGGAAGGAGTGAGTTGTCAAAATAGGACTACATCTCCCACAATGCACCACCACTGATGCCTTCAATACCAATCGGAAAGGAGGACGCTGTGTATTTGATTTGTGCGCACATGAGCCTGTGAGATATCAGAGCTTATCTGACTCCACTGATGTAACGTTTGGTCAGCTGTGATTGTTTTTTGCAGCCTACAAACTTATTATTATGTCCACTTTTCTGTTATTTTGTTATTAAGTAATGTTTTTTTAAACAGCACAACATGTATTATAATAAATACAAAGATAATAAAAGTAGTTAATTCAAATAATATACTCTCCATGTTGACTGTGTCGACTAAAAAGTATATGTTTTTGTTTTAGTTCAGATTAATTGCATCTAATATAAATAAACATGCGTAGAAAATATAAAAGTAAAAGAAGAAATATAAAAATCTATTACATTTTATAAAAGAAAAAACAAATAGCTAAAAAGTTAAGTTGAAAGCCTCATGAGAAGATTTGTTTTGGATCCATAAAGTTGCATCTATTTACGCTGTTAAAGGTTCAAAGTTAAGCTGCTAAAGACTATTATTGTCTGCCAACAGATCCTTCCTTAATGTCACACACTGGACCTTTAAGTGGCAGAACAGTGATGTCGTATTTACAACCCTGGTGGTACAAATGTCCGAGCAGCGCCTGAACGCACTGCAGTGGCTGTTGAGGACAGACTTGCTGACTGACGGTTGTTCTCGATGCTGTGACACCGAAAACATGTGAGTTTTAATGTTTTTATATCCTAACATTTACTGAAAGTGTGGGTTTGTTAGAAGAGCTCAGAGTGAAACCAATATCGTGTAGCAAAGTAATCAATACATAATGTTTCGGGTGCGGTCTGTTTTTTGTTGGCGTGATTACTTTCGTTTTCTTTATTTTTAAAAGTGCTCTTTAAAGTGCTATTAAAAGTTTTTAGAACAGATTAAATGCCATTTCCGGAGAGGAGGTGAATAGTTTTATTGATATCTATCAGCCTGTTCTGCTCTGGGAAGAGTTTTAGCAGTTAATTATGACTGCGTAATCAATTTGGAAACAAGATTGTAAGTGCGCAAAAACAACCACAGGAAGAAAGAAGCCTATAAAAAAAAAAAAAAACCCCTTTCTGTTCTACCAGAGACCATCTTGTGACACCTGCGGTTATCAGTCACACTCATGTTTCATCATCACTGTTTATTTGTTCACTCAGCATGGAGAGCTTCACAGAGGTCGCAGCCACCAACTCCTCCGCACGCACTTACTCCCAGGTGGTGTTCACGGACATCCCGCAATCATACCAGCCTTCAACCCACATCACCTGCAGCTACACCCTCACCGCAGCCTTCCAGCCCAACCCCAGGGACTGGGTGGGCATCTTTAAGGTGAGGAAAGCGATGGCACAGGTAGCCCCACAGTTATTTTCCGTGAAGTGGAAGTCTTGGTCTCACTTCTTCCTTTCCAGGTGGGTTGGAGCACAACAAAGGATTATCATACCTTTGTGTGGGTGGAGCCATGTCTGGATGTGGTCGAGCAGTCTGTGACAAGGCAGGCTGTTTTTAAAGGTAAGAAATAGTTTCACTTTTGCTGCAGGGTTACATAATGCTTTGTTATGTTCATAATATCCTGTAAGAAGTTTCAGTATAAAGTGTAAACACTTTTAAGCTCAAGTTGATGCTTCAGTCTCTGTTTTTATGAGCTGGCTGCGTGTTTATATAGAAACTCAGTGCCTTCATACAGGTTATCTGTTGCAGTCAAATTCTCTATGTAAACTAGAGAGTCAGATTTTATGTTACGTGTAGGTTATCTAGCTCTTTATAGTAGCTCAACCGCTCACAGATATTTACAGTTTCTGAGTCTTTTAGGCCACAGTATGACCTTTCAGTGCAAGTTACAGCCTCTGTGTGCCTCATTTCCCTTCTCAGTTAGTTCTTTTTAGGCCCCAAACAGCTGAAACTGTCTCACATAATGCAGTGGATCCTTTATAATTGTCTTCTGGCCCCTAATATTAATCTTGGGTCCGTTGGCTCTAGGCTAATTAGTTAAATATACAGTATATGTCTGTTAGGTGTGATTAAGAACATAAACAAGGAGGCAGTTTGTGTTGTTTGGTGAATGAAACACCTTAAAAAACGCACAAACATATTATACTTAATGTCAGGAGAGAGGCCTTTAAGATTAGAAAGAGACAAAAGGGAAAACTAATGTTCATCATAAATGTGTATCTTAAAAACAAATGTAGGAACTGTTATAATGCTCGTTACCTGGGAGTGAAACAATATGTCAGTTTTACAGTAAGGGTGTAAGTTTAAGATAACTTTAGCCACAAATTAAAAGAATCAAGGGTAATTGATAAGTATAATAGTGGCTATTTATTGATTAAACAATCAACAGAAATATAATATCTATCGAGCAAAAATGCCAAACTTTTCCTGATTTCTTCCTGTCAAACGAGAGGATTTACTGTATTTCTCTCTTATATAATTGTAAACTGGATATTTTTTTGGTTTTGGACTGTTGGTCAACATAACAATATAAAACATGCTTCAATTTTACAAAGATACATCAATGATTTTAAATATTCGTGCTGGCGATACTTTTTTAAAAGGTCCTTCGGTGCAGCAGCCTGGGTCATTGAATTCTGACCTTTAGTCTCTGCTGCGGGTGTAATCACCCGCCCCCCTCCTGTTTCCCTCTTTCCTCCCCTTTTCCTGGTCAGCTGTCCTAGATTCAAATTAAAAGAAAAAGAAATATATATATATATATATTTAGAAAAAAGATCTTGCCCTCTAGCAGTCTGCTCTGTTCTTGCCCAATTAGATTACTACCTGCCAAAGGATGAGATCGAGTTCTACCAGTTCTGCTACGTCGACAGTACTGGCCAGGTGCGAGGAGCCAGCACTCCTTTCTGTTTCAGAAACCCAGTGGAGCAAAACATGGAAAGCAGCACGGATGACGAGCTCCTGGTTATCACGACACAGGTATCTAGATTTGGAGATAGTGACTGTATCTTTTGATAATGCTGTTCTTGCAGCAGGGTTGTTGACTGAGCTCTGTGACACAACTCTTTATAATCTAATGGGATCAGATGGCTAAAGTAAATACAGCTTAATATTGATTCAATGTGCTTCGTTGAACCCAGGAACAGGTCGAGCAGAGCGTACGTGAGAAGGCTGAGCTGCAGAAAGAGTTGACTCAGATAATGGAGGAAAACGAAACCTTGAAAAGAGCTCTGCAGAAGGAACAGCAAGACGCCGCCAGCTTGAAGGTCTGCTTATCTAACTAATCGTAACATCTCGGTGATAGTGGCGACATTTGCTCATTGTGAAACTGTGGAGTTAAACTATAATATGATGAACCGTGTTTCTTTTCTACAGGACGAGAACGAACAGAAAGAGAAAGAAAAGAGTCAGCTGCTCAAAGAACTGGGTCAAATCAAGGAGCAAAATGAAAACTTGAAGAGCACCTTACAGGAACGGCAGAAAGAAACAGACCACTTAAAGGTTTGTTGTTGATCCACGTGTGAACATATAAACCCAGTGCTACAGAATCAGTGTGAAAACCTAACTTTTGGATGTCAATATTAGGAGGAGATGACCCAAACGATGAAGCAGATGGAGACACGAGAACGTAAAGCTGCTGAGGAAAAAATTAGTCAAAGCATGAGTTTCGACAAAGCGGCAAAACAAACTGAGGTATGAGATCGTTGCATCTCGCTGTTAAATGCTCCGACTATTTCTTGTAAGAGTCCTTTTATTTTTTTAATATTGCATTTGTTTCAGACGCACGCTCAGGAGAAATACGACCGAGCTGTGATGAAGATCAACCAGCTCAAAGAGGAGCGTGAGGAGCTGAGGGGCAAGGTCGATGCTCAAAGTCAGGAGATCTGCAAGTGAGTCAAGTTAAAGTCGGCTGTTAGAACTTGTGCGTAATGTTTTCTGAACAATAAACAAATGTTTTTTTTGTGTGTGTTTCAGGCTAAATTCCATAATCAGAGAAAAAGAAAGGGAACTGTTCAAAGTGAATGACAACATCCAGCTCCTGCAGGTACCTTTCTGTGCAACAGTCTAACTCAGACTATGTTTAAAGTCTTGAAATGAGGCACTGACATACTTTGGCATACAAATCTTACATACAAATGAGGAAAACGCTATAATTGTGTGTTTTCCATATGAAATAACACTATATGTGCGTGCATATGTTTGACATTTAACTTGCGTTGAGTTCATAGATCTCAAATAATTGTAGTTTCTGAGATACAGCCAGTTTCTTATCACTCTATTTAGTCTTTGGGCACATGGGACAACTGTTTTTTTCCTAAAATAGTTGAAAATGCCCTGAATAAGCAGTAAAAAAAATGGGATTTTTTAAATATTTTCAGCACACGAATGCGACAAGCTCCTATTTATAAAGTCCATTATAAAAGTTGCCACAACTATTATTAGTCTGGACAAATAAAGAAGACTAAATATAGTATGATTTCAACTGCGGCCACAAATAGGTTAAGGAATTAAGCTAGCATTACTTAAAGATCCCCTCCAGTCATTTATTAAGACCTATAATAATCTGCTTGGAACAACAATGTATGTCTGATGTGTCAATAAAAGTCAAATTTCCACATTAAAATCCTTTAAAAAGGGATCCACTAAGCGGCTAATTTAATGTCATGATGCCAGACCAGAGTCAAAGAAGAGAGATGTACTGTAAATCTTTATAAACAGCTCACAAATATATAGTTTAATTCTTAAAAAGTGGTTTAGTAATTTACTTAAACAGCTGCTTGCTGTAGTTTTCAGCAAAAGTTACTCAAACAGGAGGAAATGATGAATTTGTTAAGGAACTACTTTCATCTGCGGATTAATACACATTTGGTGCTTTAGGTGAGTATCTACAGCTGCAGCTCTTGACTCCAAAAGGTCCACTTACTGGCTTTTTCCCCCCAAGCGAATGACACTGGCTCAGGTGTCGCCATGTGACCTGATAACGAGTGGTCGCATATCTGGAGACATCGTATCCCCCGTCTCAGTTCAGAGATGGTGTTCGGCCTCAGATGACACCTGAGCCAGCTGCACCTGCTGATGAAGACTGTGGCGTGATTTAAAGCTAGAGCTCCTTAATGGACCTTTCAGTTGAGATTAGAAGAATAACATGTATCAGGTCTGATCCTTTAAGAGACAGACCGTTATCAGACCATAACTTTGCCAATAAAGTGGAGCAACATCATGTGTTAAATGCTCATAAATGCCATTATAAACACTTAAAAACAGGACAGGTCAAGATTTGGGTCCAGATGTGAACTTTGGTCCTGTATTCAAATGTGTGTTTTACCAGGTTGATGTCCAGAGCAGCGAGAAAGCGAATGAGAAGCTCTCTGCTGAGCTGCTGAGGTTGCAGAGCCTTGCACACAACATGGACGACATGAAGAAACAGAACCAGGAGTTATGCAGGAGGCTGTCGCAGCAGGATACACCACTGAACAGCCCAGATGACGATCTGAGGGTGGGAACAAATTTTAAAAAAAAAAGAGGCTTTTAATTACAAACAATGACACAGCGTTCCTCTGTGCTTAATGTTACGATGTCTTCCCCTTCAGGAGCAGTGTCAGACTCTCACCCGCAAGCTGCAGGACACTCAGGCGAAGTTGGCCACTGAGAAGGAGGAGTCCAAAAACATCAGGAGCCGAGTGGAGTATCTGGACAGAGAGGTGACGCAACTCAGGGAGCAGCTGGAGGGCGTGATCTCATCCTTGGACCAGGCTAACCGGAAATGTAACAAACAAGAGGTAAAGTGAAGACAAAAACCTCGGTTCAAGTATATTTATGTGGCCAAAAGTATGTGGACATGTTATTATGAGCTAAACCTTTTAGTTCCAATGAAGGGAAATCTTAATGCTGCTGCATACAATGAAGCTGTATTTTTAGGAACGCTACAGGAGGACTGAGAGCTGAACACTTCTAAAACAGACTTTTAAAACCATCTGTTTCTGCTTCTGGTCTCGAGTACGGATACGAGCTGAGTCTCAGCTGCATGTACGGTTGTTTGAGGGAGGAAGGGGGGTTGTCACGGGTTGGTCGTGGTCAGCGAGACGTCACCGCAACCCCCAAAGCAGACTGAAGTGGACAACCCACAAAATAAAAGGTGTAAAATAAAGAAAAAGCTAAAGAAAACTAAAAGGATTTTTAAATATTTGGCTTCTCTGAGACTTTGAGAGAGGCTGTTCGAGAGCTGTGCACCACGCAAGCTCTGGACCCAACCTCACACAATGTTGAATAAATCAAAGCCTGAAATCAAAAGAGAGGAACACATGATGTCCACATACTTTTGGCCATGTAGTGTATAACTCTGGTTTGCTTTCTATATCTGTGTGTTGAAAGCGACGGCTTCTTTCCTTTCGTTATTTTTCAGCTACAACTCAGAGAGGCCCATGAAAAGATTGCAGAGAGAGAAAGCGACACAGAAGACAAGGATCACTTGATCATGCTGGTGAAAAAAGAGAAAGAGGAGCTTATGAGAGAACACCAGGTACGTTTTACACAATCGTCTCGATTCAGAGGGTTGCTTTGTGTTCTGAGAGTTTGTTCAACTGTATTTCTTCTGTCAGAATCTCACCAATGATATCGAGGCGCTGCGGAGAGCCTACGCTGACATCCAGGCAGCTCCCCCCGCCGAGTCGTCATACATGCAGCCTGACGTCACCTCGCCAGCTGGCACCACGCCTGCCGCCCAAGACTGGCAGCAGCCGGAGTCAACTGAACAGGCTGAGAACCTGTATGAGACCATAGGTGAGTGACGGGCTTAGGATTGGGCGATATTAATGCTATTATTAGATAGTATATTAGAAGATTATAAACAGATTTTATGTTTTTACAGAAATGGCTATTAACTTTAACATCTCTGGGTGAATTAAGGGCCGTCCACACCAAAGATTTCATCCATATCACCACCTAACAGCTTAATCATCATAGCTGCAGGCCAAGAATAAACAATTAACGGTCATTTTGTTTAATAATTTGGCCTGTTTCTCTTTCCTTGCAGGGAGCGTTGCAGACCAAGAGGAAGAGGTAAGTCAAATGAACCCATCACTCATACGATTCCTCTCCAGAACGTGTTGTCAGTGAGCAGTAGCGGGTTATTTATCTGTATTTTCTTACAATCTTATAATCTTTCCAGTCATGAATCACAAAATGACCTAAAAGTGGTAGAAAAAGGAAACCTGAAAGAAGTAGTATTTAAAAGCAGGACACAGGGCAGCTGAACTCCACAACACATCCCTCGATGTTCAGTCGAGGGATGTGTTGAGAGTGACTCAACTGTTTACAGTTTATTTTCGAAGCGGACCTTAAAACATAATCCGCTCCCTATTCTGTTACCGCTTCTAATGCGTGGCCTCTATTTCTGTTCCATTGCAGTCGCTGGTGTGCCGTCACTGCCAGGAGAGGTTCCCTCTCATAACCCAGCAGGAACTGGAGCAGCACGAGCAGAGTCACAGAGTCTGTCCCTTCTGCACCATGATCTGTGACAACATGGAGCAGTCTGTGTTTGAAGATCACGTCTACAGCCACGAGCTGTGAGAACGGGCACCGGGTCCAAAGGTCCCGTTGGGTATGACTCATGTGTTTGGGGGGTAAAAAAAAAAAAAGGTCTTACAGGTTGGGTTGTATGTAAAAGGGCTGCGCTGATTTCTTTTATTTTTT